CCCCCCCCCCCCCCCCCCCCAATCTCTCTGATCTGCTACAATCATATGTCCCACCACGTTCCCTGAGGTCAGCGGACCAGTTGCTCCTCACAGTTCCAGGAACTCGTCTTAAGCGCAGAGGTGACAGGGCCTTCTCTGTAACAGGACCAAGACTCTGGAACGAGTTACCTCTGCTTGTCAGACAGGCCCCCTCCCTCTCGGTTTTCAAGTCCTGTTTAAAAACTCACTGCTATTCAGTAGCTTTCAACACCAGATGATCTGTGTCTTGAACCTGTATGCTCCACACTGGTTTGTCGTCATTATCTGCATCGTTTTTATGTCTATATTCTGATTTACCTCATTTTGTATTTTGCTTTGTGTGTTACATGTTGTTTTGTCTGTACAGCACTTTGGTTGGCCTTGTAGCTGTTTTAAGTGCTTTATAAATAAAGTGGTATGGTATGGTAACATATGAACTAAGAAAAACATCAACTAAAAATACACTAAGCACTAATAGCAAAAAAACATTACGCCGAACAGCAGCACAAACATGAGCATGAGTCTGTGTGAGCAGATGAGCACGCATGAACACCTCAACATGAAAAAGATCAGCAGCAACATGATGTGATTTTTCACAGTGATTATTCTGGTTAGACATTCATGAGTCCAACAGCCTCAGGGTAGAAGCTGTTCCTCAGTCTAGTGGTTCTACACTTAATGCTCCTCAACCTCCTTCCTGAGGGAAGCGGGGCAAAAAGTATGTGTGCTGGGTGAGTATGGTCCTTCATGATGCAGGTGGCCCTCTTCCTGCATCTGGAGGTGTAGATGTCTGTGATGGTGGGGAGACTGACTCCAACAGTCTTCTGTGCAGCCTTCACCACTCTCTGCAAAGCTTTTCTTTCTGCAGCTGTGCAGCCTCCATGCCACACGTTGATGCTAGAGCACAGGATGCTTTCCACTGCACTCCTGTAGAAGAAGGTGAGGAGTGAGCCTCCCAGACCAGCTCGTCTCAGCCGCCTGAGGAAGTAGAGTCTCTGATGAGCTTTCTTGATCAGGCTGGTAGTGTTGTTGCCCCAGCTGAGGTTGTCATTCATGTGTACACCCAAGTACTTGTAGCTGGAGACCACTTCCACCGCAGATCCTCCTTGCAGATCCTTATTATGCTCATATTAAGCTTATTTCTGCAAGTTTCAGCTTTTCTACTATTTCAGCTACTATATAGCTGTTTATGGTAATTTAAGCTTCTTCAGCCAATTCCACATTTTTTTGCCCCAATTTCAAAATTTTTCAGCCTTATACACCAAAAATGAGCTCTCTCCACTTCCATCTGGTAATTTCAGCTTCTTTCTGCCTTTTTTTCAGCTACTTTTCAGCTTTTTTCAGGAAAATTTCCACTTGTTTGTGCTCATTTCTGCTTATTTAAGCCTAATTGGGCAAGCATGTGTTCTTTCAGAATTTTTTCTGCTAATTTAAGCTAGTACTACCTTTTTAGCTAGCATTTTAGCATTTTTTTTAGATAATTTGAGCTGTTTTCAGATAAATTAAACTGTTTCATAGTAATTTCTGCTACTTTCAGCATAATTAACTTATTTCTGCTAAATGCAGTTTGTTATGCTCCTGTCAGATTTTTCTGCTATTTCAGCTACTATTTAGCCGTTTTATGTTAATTTCAGCTTAGCTAAATTCCTAGTTTTTGTGCTAATTTCTGTTTATTCAAACCTAATTCAGCAAATACGTTTTTTTTTTCTGCTGTATTCTGCTAATTTAAGCTTGTTCTCCCATTTCAGCTACATTTGAGCATTTTTTTTTAGCTGATTTCAGCTGTTTTTCAGCAGGTTCTTCAGCAATATGCATTCCCATTGCATTTTTGCAGGAAATGCAATTTCTCTAGCTATACTTATGTTATTGTAATTCAACAGGTTTAGAACTGTTTTTCTAAGCCTACACTTAAGTAAAATGTTGTGCAGGTAAAGCTTTTAAATATAAATGCACATTTCTCTTCAGGTGTTTAAATCAATACTTTGAGCTCCTGTTCGGCGCATATTACCAATACACATTACCTTAAAAAGACACACCATATTTTGGGTTTCTGGAGGTCTATAGTGAATCAGAGCATTAACAGCTGCTCTGAGAGAAAAGCACAACTCACGTCACAGTCTCGAATGGCGTCCATAGCTAGCAGGTCATTGCCGTGGCGAAGCTGGAACTTCACCATGCTGGTGGCAGCCTGCAGAGCTGTAAGCTCCGCCTCCTGCTCTGTGCCCACCTCCTTCATGAGGTCAGTTAGGAGCAGAGCATATTTACTCATTCTCTGGATGGGCTTCAGCAGGTAGGACGACAGGTCCATCTTATCTTCCAGTTCCAACTGCTTCCACTGCCACAAAAGGGGCAGGGTTAAAGGTCAGAGGTCACAGTGAGTCCTCGAAGGTTAAAGGTCAGAGTACGCAGGAAGCAGTTCTTACCCTGAAGAAGGAGTGACCATGGTTGGCCAACAGGGCGTCAGACTTCGGTTTGTTCTTGCTGTACAGAGCGTAGAGACTGAACTGCTCCTCCTGCTCGACAAACACAAACACCGTGTCAGAGACAACACAAACACACACAATGTGTCAGAGACAACACAAACACACACAACGTGTCAGAGACAG